CATTTCCGTGGCCATTATGGGGGTGTCCCGCCCCCCCCTCCTTTGTTTTCATCCAGGTGCAAGTTAATTTTTAATCTGAAGTCTGTTCTTTCTGGTTTACCTTCTGGCCACCCATATTAAATCCATGACCACAGACAATGCTTTTCCTGCTCCCCATTTCACCACCCTCCCCCCCCCCCACACACACACACTTCTAAATCCCCGGGATTTCCCTTTACATTTTTCTCCCAAGTCTAGTCAGTGGATTTGCCTGAAGTGAGTACTGAGGAAATTCTCACCACAGAATATTCTTACCATAGAATGGCTAGTACAGTGTGTGTGTACTGCATTATAACACAAAATAAGCTCTTTTTCCTACTTATTCACATGTTCACCCTTTGCCCACCATCATCACCACTGGCATCAAGAGATCTTAATAACACAGCTTTGCCTTTGAAAAGAAGAGATTCAATTCTGTATAATAACCAATGTACACTGGTTCTAAATGAGGGTCGGGGGGCAGAATATATCCGTCCATTGTCTATTATTGAACTTACGATACATATTTTTTTTATTCAGCATTTGAAAGCATAGAACTGCCTACGGTAATAAGTTCTACCCAGTGCTTAGGTTATAGGTCTAACAAGCCACCCCTTGCATGTGTCTCAGTAAAAATTTTTACATGTATTGGAGCTACATGGCTGGCAGAAACACAGACAGTTACTTCTAAACCACAAAGAAGTGGGAGCCCAAAGAATTCCTTTCTGCAATTCAATAAACAAGAGGAAAGATGTACTGTTCGCTGGCTCAAAATAGACACTAATTTTACATCTGTCTCTGAGGCACAGCAAAAAGCGAACTAAAGAGCAGTAATAAATGTCCAAAAACAGCATCAGTATCCAAAACTCTCCCAGTAATCTTCAGAGGAATTAATTACAATTCTGTGTAACAGTTGCATTGGCAAAACACACCCATAATTATGTACAGGTACTGTCCTGTATTACAGAGAAATTTGCCATGTGATACATGTTTACATGATAATTGATGGATAAGATAAAACTATTTGCATATGAAGTGCATATGAATTATTGGCATGACTCGCCATTTTATGTGGAATCATATTAAAGTTTCATTTTCTCTAAAACGGTATGCGTAATATGGGGTTACCAAAGGGTATAAAGCTGATACTTAAATTTGCTTTATAGCACATGGGCCTGGAAAGATATATCTGAATGTGCATTACTAAAATCCGATATTTAAAAGGCTTCATAGTTTATCTATGTAATAAGCATTATTTTCACTTCACCAGATTGCTTTATATTAAATCCTTTCTATTCTTCCTCCTAAGCAAACAATACTCATAATTGTATCACTATATGAATTGATTTTACAATCATATGCAAAACAAATAATGATTTCTCTTTATTGTCTATTGATATAACTTTTTTTTTTCTCCCTTCAGATTTTTGTATTCTGGTGACAAGTAATGGAACAGTAGCAAATAGTGGCATTTGTATCATGTCTATACCTGCTGGAAAATTTTAACATTTGCAAAAATGGTCTATCATAGCATTTAAACACTGCTGATAATTAGCTTGACATTTGAAATACCAGAACTGTTGTTTTGAAGATGCCCTATACAATGTTACCTAACTAACCTCTTTTCATACTTGTATGCTTTCTCTACATTATTCTGCCAGTTATAGTGCAAATAGGATATCAGTTGCTAATGCAGGAAACATGCAAAAGAACTGATGTTAAGGGCTGATACTTTATTTCACAGAAGCAGAAGTTTCTCTGATGTAAAGGGAAATTACATATGTGGATTAGAGACAGTTAGTTGCTAATCAGGTGGTCAATTATGATTTCCTATAAGTCCACTCAAGCTAAGTGTGCCAACACTTAAGTCTTTCGATGCTATCATCGAACACTTATTAAATACCTACAATGTGGTACGTCCAGAGGATACACAGATATGCTGCTCTCACCTCAGGAAGCTTACTATCTACGTGGAGAAAAAGAAGCATAACATTGTTCAGCGCGAGAAGCCACCTGAAGTCCACCTCTGACATGTGACCAGGAAGTAAATACAGGCACCAGGGCCAGGGACTTGCCTAGGGCCCGGCAGCCACTTGGTGGCAGAGCTAGCAGGCACATCTTCCAGTCACACACAAAATAGATGGAATAATACACACCCCCAGTGAAGCATGCCATCTACATGTAAACTCTGTATGGTCCAAGAAAGGGAATGGAAATCCCTGGGACTTTTGGGGACTGTCGTGTCGCAAAAATGGAGATTGTTGCTTAATTTTAAATTGTTTTGATGATTGTAATTTTCAAGGATCCCCTTAATTTGAGTTATAGAAGCCTACCAATTTGATCAATTACCAAAATCTAACAATACACCCATGTTTCCCCACAAGAGTTTGGAAACAATAGAAATAAAGAGGCACTTCCCAGAATTATGAGCTTGAAGACCTGTCTTATTGCCTCAGTCCCAACAAGTAACCAGCTGTGTGGC